AAGCCCAACGTCCTGTTAATATCACACCTGATCAATTGCTTGGAATCGGACAGGCATGGGGTACTCTAAATCAACAGATGGTAATGGGTGATGAGGCTGTTGATCAGCTCAGAACTACATGCCTAAGAGCCTGGGAAAAAATTCATGACCCTGCTACTGCTTATCCTTCTTTTCACACATTTCAACAGGGTCCAAGGGAGCCTTATCCTGATTCTATCGCCCGTTTGCAGGATGCGGCTCAAAAGGCTATTTCCAATTCTCATGCCAAGAAAGTGATCATTCAGCTGCTTGTTCATGAAAATACTAATACAGAATGTCAGGCAGCAATTAGAACTATTAAGAGAATGGCAGATCTAAATGAGGAAAAAACTTTAAGTGAATACATTAAAGCCTGCGATGGCATTGGGGGGCACTTATATAAGGCCAGCCTCCTTATATAAGGCCAGGGGGAGAGGGGGATGCTATTACTCCCCAAATCGGGGGGGTTTCTCACCCCCTGCGATGTGGATTGTAACAGTGAGGGGGAGAGAGAGGATCGCTATTACTCCCCTTTATGATGTGGATCTTAATAATTATTCCCCCCTGAAATGTGTGTTCATTATTAGCAGTCTCTTTTGTTCACGATATTAGGAACAATTTCACAGGTTATGTGTACACAGCCTGCGATGGGAGAAAGATTACCATCCTCTGCACCTCCCGATATTAGGAACCATATCACACAATGGGTGTACACTTTTTCGGAGATTTGGAGTAATGTCTTCCTATTTTTCCCTGAATATTCGGAGACATATCACAGGGTGGCTGTACACCCACTACTCTCTTGGCAGGAACATCATACTTTACCTACTGGAAATTAGGAGCAATATCACAGACTGGGTGTGAAGCCACTGTCATACTGGAAGTAATATCATGCTCTTCCCCCAAGTTATGAGGAACAATATCACAGGGGGGTGTGTACCTTCTCCGGTAGGGGTAGCAGTATCATCATCTCTTCCTTTAGATGACAGGAACAATATCACAGGGTGGGTGTACACCTCGTGTGTTTTTGGAAGCAATGTCATTCTCTCTTCTTCTAGGTTTTCGGATTCATATCACAGGCAGGGTGTACACCCCTTGTTGTATTGGAGGGCGTCTCATCCTCTTTCAACCTGCATCTTTAGAACAATATCCCATGGGGGCCGTCCATCCCTTCAATATTGGTACTAATACCATCTTCTCCTTTCCTGGATATAAGAAACAATATCACAGGAGGGGTGTACACCCCTTGCAATATTGGTAGTAATATCACCTCTCCCTTGTGGTTATTAAGGACAAAATCCCAGGGTGACTGAACGGTTCCTGCTTTATTGGGAATAATATCCACTCACCTTCTGGATATCAGGAACCATATCACTGAAGAAGTGTCCACCCACTTCGATATTGTCAGCCATGTCATCTTCTTCCTGCCTGGATATTAGGAACGATACCCCGGGTTTGGGGGCGCTGTACACCCACTGCGATATCAAAAGTAAAATCAGCCTCTTTCCCGCTGGATATTAGGAACTTTATCACAGGTGTGTGTGCACCTTCTGGGATATTGGGAGTACTATGAGCCTCCACCTCGCTGCATATTAGGAACAATATACGGGGGGCAGGGTGGTTACAGCCCCTGCAATATTGAGAACAATATTCTTCTCTTTCCCCTGTACATTAGGGTCTACATCACAGGGGTCTGTACACCTTCTGTGATATTGGGATTAATGTTGTCCTCTCCCCTACTGAATGTCAAAAACAGTATCATAGAAGGGTGTACACCCCCTGCAATATGGCCAGTAATATCATCGTCTGTACCTTTGGATACTAGGAACAACATCACAGAGGGTGTGTACACTCCCCTGCGATATTGGGCATAATGTTATCCTCTCTTCCCCTGGATATTAGGACTGATATCCCTGGTGGTGGGAGGTGGAGTACCTTAAGAACATTATCACTGGATGGGTGTACACCCTGCGATATTGGGTGTAGTATCCTCCTCTCTTCCCTAGGATATTAAGAACAATATCACAGGAGGGTTGTACCTCCACAGCCCCTGTGTTATTGGGAGCAATAGCATCTTCTCCCCCTCTCGATATAAGGAACAATATCCCAGGGTGGGTGTACATCCCCTGCAATATTGGGCGTAATGTCTTCGTCTTCCAACGTGGATATTGGGCATAGTGTCACAGGGGGGTGTAAGCTTTCTTCGATATTGGGAGTAATATCATCCTCTCCCCTCAGGATTGTAGGCAAAATATTGAAGTGGTTTTACAACTCGTGTGATATGGGCAGTAATATCATCCTCTCCCCACCTAGATGTTAGGAACTATATCACAGGCAGCTGTACACTTCTTTTTTTTTTTTTTTTTTTTTTTTGAGACGGAGTCTAGCTCTGTCGCCCAGGCTGGAGTGCAGTGGCCGGATCTCAGCTCACTGCAAGCTCCGCCTCCCGGGTTCACGCCATTCTCCTGCCTCAGCCTCCCGAGTAGCTGGGACTACAGGCGCCCACCACCTCGCCCAGCTAGTTTTTTGTATTTTTTAGTAGAGACGCGGTTTCACCGTGTTAGCCAGGATAGTCTCGAGCTCCTGACCTCGTGATCCGCCCGTCTCAGCCTCCCAAAGTGCTGGGATTACAGGCTTGAGCCACCGCGCCCAGCCTCAGCTGTACACTTCTTGTGATATTGGGAGTCCTATCCTCTCCCATCATGGATATTCAGAACAATATTACAAAGGAGGTGTACACTCTCTGCCATATTGAGAGTAATATTATGCTCTCCCCTTCAGGATACTAAGAACAATACCGCAGGAGGTGTGTACAACCCCTGTGATATTGAGAGTAATATCGTCCTCTCCCCCTGAATATAAGAAACAATATCACAGGAGGATGTATACCTCCTGTGATATTGGGAGTCATATCATTTTCTCTTTCTCTGGATATTCGGAACAATATCACAGTGGGTGTGTACACCCCCTGCGATATTGCCACTAGTATCATCGTCTCCCTTTCAGGATATAAGGTATACACCCCCTTGTGATATTGGGGGTAATATCTTCCTCTCCCCCGCTGGCTATTAGGAACAATGTCACAGAAGGGGTGTACACCCCCTGCTCTACTGGGAGTGATATAGTCCTCTCCGTCCCTGGATATTAAGAACAATATCACTAGGGAGTGTACACCTCCTGCAATATTGAAACTAATATCATCCTCTTGCCTCCTGGATATTAGGAGCCATATCACAGGGGTGGTGTACATCCCCTGCGAAATCGGAAGAAATGTCATCCTTTCCACCTTTGGATGTTAGGGACAATATCACGGGGGAGGTCTACGCCCCCTGTGATATTTGGAGTCCTATCATCCTCTCCCACCCAGGATATAAGGAACGAGATGACCGAAGGGTTGTACACCCACTGCAATAGTTTCAATAATGTCATCCTCTACCCCCGGCTATTAGGAATAACATCATAGAGGGGTGTACGCTTTCTTCGATATTAGGAGTAATATCCTCTCCCCGCCGGATATCAGGAACAAGTCTATTAATTATTAATATTAATAAATATAAGAAAAATTAAGAGTAATCATCGATGTTGATAATCACAATAAAGATAGTAAAAATTAATACTGGTTAAAAATGTTAATGGTTAGTATTAATAATTAATAGTAATATCACTGTTAATAATAAAATAATGATATCAGCAATAATGTTACTTAATACTAAGTGATGCTGGTAATAAAATAATAATTAATATTAAGAACTAATAATATTGTTAAACGTGATTAATGTTAATAATTAATTTTAAGTATGCATAATCATATATTTAAAATAATTATCCACAATTAATAAATGGATTCCTATTAATTAATAGTATCATTGATAATTATTAAAATCGATCATTGATGTTTAATAATTAATTATATTATTACTCCTAATACCGCAGGGGGTGTACACCTACCTGTAATGCTGTTCCTAATATCCAGGGACGGAGAGCATGATTTTAGTTTTAATATCACAGTAGGTGTACACTCACCGCATGACACTGATCCTAATATAAACGGGGTAGAGTATGACATGACTCCAAACACAGCAATGAATGGACAGCCACCCGGTGATACTGCTCCTAATATTCATGGAAAGTGTGTATTATATTACTCCCAATATCACAGGGAGGGTACAGCTCTTCTGCGATATTGTTCCTAGTATCCGGAGGGGAAGAGGATGATAATAATTTGCAGGCTGTATTCACCCGCCCAGTGATATTGTAATTAATATCCTGGGAGGGAGAGGATGATATTACTCCCCGTCGAGCAGGAGGCGTACACCCAGCCTGGTATATTGTTCCAAATATCCATGGAGGGGAGCGGTTGATATTACTCCAAATATGGCAGGGAATGTACATCCACCCTGTGACATCCTTCTCAATATCTCAAGGCCGAGAGGCTGATATTACTCCCAGTATCGCAGACACTGTACACCCCTATGTCTTCCTGATATCCCGAAGGGGAGAAGACGGTATTAATCCCCATATTGCAGGAGGTGAACACCCACTCTGTGATATCTTTCCGAATTTGCGCGGGTAGAGAGGATAATATTCCCAATATTGCAGAAGATGTGCACACCCCCTCCCCCTGTGATATTATCCTGAATATTCCAAGGCACAGAAGATGATGTTACTCCCAATATCACAGAAAGTGTACACCCCCCAGGGATGTTGTTCCCATGATCCAAGAGGGGAGAGGATGATACGACTTTCAATATCGCAGGGGTGTACACGCCCCCAGTGATGCTGTTCCTAATTTCCACCTGGGAGAGGATGATATTACTCCCAATATCGCAGGGGTCATAAACACTCCTTTGATATTGTTCCTAATATTCAGGCGGGGAGAGGATGATATTCCTCCCTATATTGCAGAGGGTGTACACCCGTCTTTGATACTGTTCGTAATGTCTAGAGGGGGAGATGATATTACTCTCAGAGTCGTAAACACGCTGTGTGTCCACCGTGGATCCTAATATCCAGGGAGGGAAATTACTCCCCAAGACGTGGGGGGTGTCCACCCCACCTGTCACATTGTTTCCTGTACCCAGGGAGGAGAGGATTATATCGCTACCAATATCAAAGAAGTGTACACGTCCCCTGTGATATGGTTCCTAATATCTTCGTTGGGAGAGGATGATATTACTCTCAATATCACAGGGGTTGTCCATCCCGCCTGAGATATTGTTCCTACTATCCAGAATAAGAGAGAATGATATTACTTCCAATAGTGCACGGCGTGTCCCCCGCCATGTGATATTGTTCTCAAGAGCTAAAGGAAGAGAAGAGAATAGTATTCTTTGTACTGCCGGGGGTGTACAACCAACTGCGATATTGTGAGGCACCCCTTGTGAAAACAAGAAAGACTGGAATTTGATGAGACTCCAGTACCACCTGGGCAGCTCTGCCTTCCCCACAGTCTCTCCAGCTCCCTTTTCTGTCCCGTGGGTGTAGGAGAACAGCTCTCCGCAGCAGGGTCCCACCCAGGGCTTCAGAGGACTTGATGGATTCACTCTTTCCTTCTGTTAGCAACACCAGGCACGGCTCTCTGCTGCGGATACTAACAAAACATTTTCTCTGTTTAATTTCTGAAAGGAATTTCTCTGGGATTTCCTGAACCATCAGGAGGGTCCCCGCATAAGAGATCATTTAAGCCACGGGGAGATCAACTTACATGAATTTTCAAAAGAAACAACTAATCAGTTGCTTGCATTTTCTGTTGTACTGTTACTCAGATCTGTTGATGAAGGTCTACTATCAGTTTTTAAGGTAATTTACAGGGAAGAAAATCATTAATTAGATTAACTCATTCAGCTATGAAAGGATATAGTTTATTTTTCAAATGTAATTAACTATTAATCATCTTTTAGTATATCTGAGTTACAGTATCCTCCATCAGAAAAAAAAAGTGACTGGATTACACGTAAGTTTATATTCTCTATCACAGATCAATCAATATTAATCTTAGCTAAAATAATTTAACTTGTTTCTTAAAAACACATTTGCTTTTGTATGTAACAGCAGCTAAGTATTGAAAATCAAAGAGCAAATTATAAAACAGGATTAACCAAATATTAGGAAATTTTTACAGATGTTTGCTGCATCGATGGGGTAGGATATTTGCATCATCAATAAACTAATTCTTTTATTATTTCAAAGTAAATAATTTAGGTTAGAATATTTGTTATTGACATTTTAATCTTTTTTTCAAATCATACGTTTGACAGTTATTTTTAAAATGTTTAAATGTTCAAAGAAAAATTACTAGAAATAGAAAAACTAATGTGAAAAGTAACAGCCCTCAAGACTTCCATCTCCCAGAAATAACTACTGTTAATAATTAGGTAGTGTTGCTACCACATTTTTGCTATGAGTGTACCAAAGTGAGTTCGTAGGAAGGTACGTTGTGTTTTATAGCTAGCATTTTTCATTAACAGTGTGTTTTTGGCATCTTTGTTCTGCCTTATTCTTTTTGTCAGCTGTTTGATATTCCATTTTATCAATATGTTATTATTTACCTAAGCAGTCCTTCATTGATGGATGAGTTGTAATGTTCCTGATGTAGAAAATTCCTAATTATTATGCTGAAATGAACATCTTTGTTCATTTGGGCACTTATGTAAATACTCTTAAAAAGTAAAGTTCTAAGACAAAATATATCAATAAGGTTTTTTAAATTCTTTTATTTATTTATTTATTTTTTATGAGACAGGGTCTTGCTCTGTCGCCCAGGCTAGAGTGCAGTGGTGCAGTCATGGCTTATGATAGCCTCGACCTCCTGGGCTCAAGCCATCCTCTTGCCTCAGCCTCCCGAGTAGCTGGGACCACAGACGAGAGCCATCATATCCAGCCAAGATTATGTTTTTATTTTCATTCTTTTTTTATGTTTACTAGATGTTTATAATTATTTCATTAATTGCCTATTAATGTATTTTCTCCGTTTATTTCAGTTTCATTTTTCCCACTGGTTCATTAGCCTTATTTGTGTACATATTGCTTTGTTATTTGTTCATAGGTTTTGATTTTTTTTTCCTCTGGCTTCACATTTGGAGTCATTCTGAAAAGAATCTTTGCTTTTCAAAATTAAAAATACAGGTATACATTTTCTCTGGTACTTCTATTTTTTCTTTTTCTTTTTTTTTTTTTTTTTTTTTTTTTTTTTTTTGAGACAAAGTCTCACTCTGTCACCCAGGCTGGAGTGCAGTAGCACAATCTCAGCTCACTGCAACCTCTGCCTCCTGGGTTCGAGCAGTTCTCTGCCTCAGTCTCCCGAGTAGCTGGGATTACAGGTGCCTGCCACCACGCCCGGCTAGTTTTTTTGTATTTTTAATAGAGGCAGGGTATCATCATGTTGGTCAGACTGGCCTTGAACTCCTGACCTTGTGTTCCACCCGCCTCAGCCTCCCAAAGTGCTGGGATTACAGGCATGAGCCAACGTGCCCTACCTATTTTTTCTTTATTTTCCATTTACGTCTTTGGATCCAACTGGAATTTATTTCATCTTGAGAGTAAGGTACAGAGTCTAGCTTTACTTTAAAAAAAAATAATAGTTATTATTCTGTGTAAACTTGGACAAACATAAAACCCCAAAAACAAATAAGAACACCTCATGGATTGAGTTAGGGATAATTGACATTTTTCACAATATTGAAGCTTATTCAGGGACACAGTGTCTCCCCATCTTCATTCCTCAAGTCCTCCCATCTACGTGGCACCTCCAGCCTCCCAGGTGGCTGCTCAGGTTGGAAGCCTCAGATTCCTCTCCTCTCTTCATACTCCGTCCTTGGAACAGGTTTTAGAAATATGTTCCACAGTCCGGGCACAGTGGCTCATGCCTGTAATCCCAGAACTTTGGGAGGTCAAGGCAGGTGGATCACCTGAGGTCAGAAGTTCGAGACCAGCCTGGCCAACATGGTGAAACCCTGTCTCTAATAAAAATACAAAAACTAGCTGGGCATAGTGGTGGGTGCCTGTAGTCCTGAGAATAGCTTGAACACGGAAAGCAGATGTTATAGTGAACCGAGATTGTGCCACTGCTTTCCAGCCTGAATGACAGAGCAAGACTCCATCTCAAAAAAAGAAAAAGAAAAAAAAAAGAAATATGTTTCACATCTGCTTCTTCCTGTCCCTCCTGTGCCACCACCTGGCCATACCGCCTTGGTCCCTTCCTGGAATGTCGCTGGCACTGACTGGTCTACCCACCGACTTCTGTGAGCCCTTCCCCTTGTCATAACACAGCAGCCAGACTGATCCTTCCCCAACATGTCATCCTCTCCTCAGAAGCCCTCAGATGGGTTCACGTCTTGGAACAGAAGCCAGGTGCTCTGCAGTGGCACACATACGCCGCTCTGCAGTGGGATATATATGCTGCTCTGCAGTGGCACACATACACTGCTCTGCAGTGGGATATGTAGGCTGCTCTGCAGTGGCACACATATGCCACTCTGCAGTGGGATACATACGCTGCTCTGCAGTGGCACACATATGCTGCGTGTGGGTCTGCCCTGTGGGGACATCACCCGTGCAGGCACATGTGTGTGCCTCCCGTGTTCCGCCCAGCACTCCCTGGTGCACTCCAGGCTCTCACACATCTGAGTGAAGGGAAGGCCAGCACATTTCTTCCGTAGTTAACATCTAGCTACTTGAGTTGTTTGTTTTGTGCTTTTAAGAATTGTAGGTAGCGGGCCGGGTGCAGTGGCTAACACCTGTAATCCCAGCACTTTGGGAGGCCGAGGCAGGTGGTTCACCTGAGGTCAGGAGTTCAAGATCAGTGTGGCCAAACATGGTGAAACCCCGTCTCTAATAAAAATACAAAAAAATTAGCCAGACGTGGTGGTGGGTGCCTGTAATCCCAGCTACTCAGGAGGCTGAAGCTGGAGAATCACTTGAACCTGGGAGGCAGAAGTTGCAGTGAGCTGAGATCGCACCAGTGCACTCCAGCCTGGGCAAAAAGAGTAAGACTCTGTCTCAAAAAAAAAGAAAAAAAGGAAAAAGAATTGTAGGTAGTCACAGATTTTTTAATTTGTCAACTATCAATTCACTGACTTTGTTTCTCATAGGTTTCAGTTGACTGACTCGGATTTTTAAGTTAGGTGGTTATATCAGCTTCAAATAATGTAATTTTTATGCTTGTAAAAATATGTATGTGCTTAGCAATTAAATGATTATGTGATTTTTTTTAGTTGTATTGTTTTTTAGTGTTTAAGTAACTATGTCCTAGTTAAATTTCCAATTGTTTGGAATCCTTTTTTTCTTATTCATCTCCAGTTTTGTGCACAGAGGGTGGGTGTGGCATTTGTGATCTATTATTGTTAATGGTCTCCATTTAAAATCATTTTATTGGCTGTGATTTCCTTGCGATGTGAAACCTATTTTAATGCAGCGTTTGCTTTTCTAGCTGCAAAAAATTGTTTGAAGAAAGATAATGAGAAATGGGGACTCTAATTGGCCTACAGTTCGATAGAAGAAAACTAAGTCTACCCAAACACGATAGTAGCCACTGTTTTCTCTAAACTAGGAAAAAGCAGCAGTAGAATTGTTGATTAGTCTTGCAGAAGGCTATAGTTCTCGCTGCCATCCGGTTTTTCAGCCTAAAAAACAGGTATGCCAAATGCAGGGTGCTGGGAGGGGTGTGTACGTCTCTGAAACCACCTGTCTTTTGCAGAGATGCTGGAAGGGTGCAGTTTGCCTGCTGAGTCAGACTTTGAGTTGGGCAGATCCAGCTTTCTAGCCAGCGTGGCGCTTGCTGTGGCCCTGGCCTGGTTGCTCAGTCTTCTGAGCCTCAAGTTCCGTGTCTCGCAGTTGAAAGTAATGCAGTGCTGATGGCACTGAGGTTTTTAGTGTTAAATGGATGAGCACTGGGAAGTGTTTTTGCTGAATCCCCTGGCAGGATTTTATTGCTGTAGGCAGTAACGCAGAGCTGGGAGCAGTTTTTATTTGTCAGTGGTGAGTAATGTCAGTTTTTCTTCTCCTACACGGACTAGCTTTTGTTAACTTACTGAAACAAACAATTTTTTAAGCATTTCTGCCAGGAAGTTCCAATTTGGCAATCAGCGAAGGTGCTTTATTCTGCATACGGGAGGATACAAGGGTAGTGCAAGGGGATGAAAGAGACCGTCCCCAAGAATATAAGCATCGTGACAGCTGTGCAGGTGAAAATTCATAAATGAGACTACCTCTAAAAGGAAGCTGTAAAATCAACATACAGCGGGGTCAGGAGAGATTTGCAAAGGCGCTTTAAAGAAATGGTGCCTTGAGAAGTCGGAGGCCTCCCTTAAGGAAAATACTGTCAGAAGGGGGTTGTCAGCAGTGAAGTTGGGAAAACAGCCTCCTGGAGGTGTGGCTTGGAGGCAGAGCATCGGGCTGCACTGGTCGGATGCCATTCCCCGTTGGCGCCGCAGACCAGCTTTACCAGTGGGGATGGCCGTGCTTTCCAAGTGCAAGCCCTTAGGAAGGTAGAGGTGGGCAGGTAGGGAGGAGGGAAGAGTTAGGAAGGAAGAGGAGCTTCAAGAAGGCAGCCTTTGTCTTCCAACCAGAGCTGCTGAGGCTCCAGACCATCCTCTCCTGTGCCCCACGGTGGCTATTTGGGTCCTTACCACTTCCTGTCCCCCTCCTGGCATCTCACAGGTATTCAGGCAGCTTAGCATCCTGGGCTTCGGTTATTTCTGCTGTTGAGACCACTCACGCTCCGTGGTGTCAGCAGCCACGTTTGACTTGCTCATGTGCTAGTGGGTTAGAAATGGGGAGCATCTGCCGAGGGATCTGTCCTGTGGCCTGGCCTGGGTGTGGACGGCTGTGGTCCCCCAGGGCTTCGTGGATGTTGCATCTGAGAAGACTGGAAGTTGGCCAGAGGCCTCATGGGGACAGTCTCAAGGTGACAGAGGCTGCACCCCGAGCGCGGCCTGAACTGGAAAGGCACCTGCGCCTCTGACATGGCTTTGCATAACGTGCAGCATCTTCACACCTGCTGTGTTCTGCTGGTTCCAGGCCAGTCGCCAGAGCTCGTACGGATTTGGTGGGGTCCTCCCTCTCAATGGCAGGTGTCGAAAGAACCTGTGGACATGGTCATAGCCACCCCAGACGTTCACTCCCTACCAATCCCCTGGTAGTTTCCCCAGCCTTCCCCCATCTGTACTGAAGAACTGACATCCACCATCTGGTTTTAAAATGTTTAGAATTTGTAATAATTTTATAGATACATATTTTCTAGAGAGTGATGTAACATCCATAACAATCTAAAAACAGATTTTCTAGGAAGTTACCGTGAAATCTACAAAGTCAATAAAACATTTCATCTCAGGTGCTGAGCTTTGAGGAGAGTATCAGGGTTTGGGCTCTGCTGCCTTTCCCCAAAGAACTCACTTGGGAAGCAGTCAGGTACGTGGCATCCTGGGGCCTGGCTGACATCAAGCTTGTCTGGTACTGTTAGTTTCAGCAGCATTTCTTCTTTAGCGAGGCTGTTGGAAGATAAAAGGGGAAGGAGGAATTTCTGGGCCTTGGTGACTGTGAGGAGCTGCAAGTGATGCTGAATGCGATCTTCCAGCTGGCCTGGGGCCCTGGTGGAGACTGAACATGGAACGAGAGGCAGGTTTTGTAGGTAGACAATGGCTTCCATGAGAACTACTGAGTAGGCAGAAAGAAAGATGGGTCTGAAGCTCAGGAGAGAAGTGGGGATGGAGGCATGCATTCTGGAATCATAGACAACAGCAGACATACTTGTTCAGCAGGAGGAATACGCAGGTGGTTCATCGTCTCGTCATCAGTCATCATTGGACTTTGCTTTTGGCTTAGGGCATCGTTTCTTTCTCCACTGTCCTGTGATGGTGGCTTTTTACATTTTATATTTGGGAAAACTAAGATTCACAGTCAGGTTGCTGCTCAGTGAACCATTAACTATTATTGTGCATGGGCACTAATGTGGACATTTTAATTGTCATGTATCTTTAAATATTTTCTATTTTTCAGATTAGAAGATAATTCTGAAACAAATGCCAGCCACTCTTTAATTACAAAAATGACGGATGAGCTGTATCACCATGTGCCTGAGAATCATTGTGTTTTAAAGGACTTGGATCATCTTCCTACTGAGACGTAAGTTCCAGGACATCCTGACAACTGTTGAAACATTGATTCTGCAGATTAGCATAGCAAACTTAGACATTTTCTATGTTTTAGATTTTATAAAGTAGTCTTAGAATACCACTGTTACTACTCCAAGAGGAATTATGAGATCAGTTTTGACAATCTCTGTGAAAGCGTGGCACATCTGATGAGGCTGTGAATGTCACATTCTGTTTGCCACAATTCAGTGTATTTAATTAACACTTGCCGTATGTCACGGTTGTCCCTGCAGACCCACCAGTGATACGCAGCTAGCCCTGGCTCCCAGAAAGCCGCAGCCTTGCAGGTACAGGAGAGTGAGGTACAGGTGAGGATCACAATGCCTGCTCCAAGTCTGGCTCTGTTTGCAGGTGGCCCCAGCTGCTCCGTGAGCTCTGCAGTACACACTTTCCTACCCTCTTCTGCCCCAGGATTGTGCTGGAAGTGCTGGTTGTGTTCCAAAGCATCAGCAAGCAGTGTCACCACGTGTCTTGCCTTGGAGCTGAGACACAGGCAGTGGGTGGAGAGGATGCTGCCGTCTCGCCAGCGGCTGAACTACCTGCGTATGTGGAGTAGGTGCGCGCTCACTTTCCTGTTTTGGAGGGACACTGTGGGGCAGGAAGTCACCACAGATGCAGTTCCAGTCCCCACTGAAGACACACACAGTAGGCCCCTCACTGAACCCATCGACAGGTGTTGATATACTTGGAGTTCACAACTGATAGTATGAACCCAACGTATCTGAGACAGGTCTCAATCCTTTTAGAAAGTTTACTTTCCCAGGGTTAAGGATGTGCTGTGACAGCCTCAGGAGATCCTGACAGCATGTGCCCCAGGTACTTGGGGTGCAGCTTGCTTTTATACATTTTTATACATTTTAAGGAGACATAAGACATCAGTCAGTAGGTGTAAGGTGTACATTGGTTCCATCTGGAGTGGCAGGAAAACACAAACGTGGGGGGCTTCCAGGTTATACGTGGACAAGAGACAAAGGATTGCATTGTTTTGAGTCTTTCATAAGCCTTTCGGTGAATACACAATTGACTTGTGAGTGGGGGTGGAGGAATAGTGACTTACACCTTAGTGTGGCTCAGTGAAGCTGCATTTTACACAGGGCAGAGGAAGCAATCATATAGGTATTTGTGTCAGGTGAGCTGAGGGATGACGCCCTGTCCCACCCCTGGGAAGATCAGCTGGCAACTGCATTGCCAGGGTGAAATTCAGCAGAAGTCTTTCTGGGTAGAGATCTTGAGGCCCACGAGGCATTTCCTTGTGGACAAACTGTGAGGGAGGTCTGTATGTAGCTTTTTTCTCTTGTAGCCACCTTATTTAGGAATAAAATGGGAGGCAGGTTTGCCTGAGGCAGTTCCCAGCTTGACTTTTCCCTTTGGCTTAGTGAGTTTGGAGTACTGAGATTTATTTTCCTTGCACGGTGGAAACAAAAGTTAAGTTCCCACAGCATGTTTCTGGTCATAAAAATATTGCCAAACTTCTAAAGAAAGACCCAAAACACTTACAGTGTTAAACATTGAGGCACACGTGAGCTCTATGGACATTTAAGAAAGATGAATAAAAACAAGTGAGAACTACTCAGTGTTTGGCGAGGCAGTGAGTGACGGCAGTCCGGCAGTCCTGTGGTGGTTAAATGAGGCAGTAAATGTTTGCAGAGTGAGACCTCCCCAGGCCCGCCCCCTTCCCCCCACCCACAGCTCCAGCACCAACAGAAACAAATGTGTGGGTCACTGAGCACTTTTGTACCAACACGCACTGTCGAGCACTTGTATGATGATGGTAGACTTTACAAGTTCTTATAATTTGTATTCATTCATTCATTCATTCATTTTCCAACCTGTTCATTCCAGTTCAGAGTTGTGAGTGGCTGGAGCCTATCCCGGCAGCTCCGGGTACAAGGCAGGACCCACCCTGGACAGGACGTGGTTCCTTCGCAGGGCCAGTTACATACCCACACTCACTCTGGGACCATGGAGATACGCCAGTTCACCTAATGTGCACGGCTCTGGGATGTGGGAGGAAACTGGGGGATGGGAGAAAACCCATGCAGAACGTGCTTCTCCACACAGACCGTGGCCCTCACGGTGTATCGATTTCCTTTCTCACTGATGTTGTGATGAAACGGTGTTGAATGAAATGATGTTATCTGAGGACTGTGAGGACTCCCCATGCTGATTTTCATAGAAAGTTATAGTACATACTATTTTAAGTAGTGTTTGTAATTTGGCCTATGGAAATGTGGGTTCTATCTACCTAAATAAATATTTGGATTTAAAGTATAACAGCAGATTAACTGGATTTGGATTTAAAATATAACAGCAGATTAACTTAATAGCAGATTAACAGCATTATGGTTCCTTCACTTACAGTGTATATTTTAGAATGTGCTACATCCTTAAGAAATGACCATTTTGGATACATTTCTAGAACTTTTGGGTTTAGTGGTATCTGTGTTTTTAAAGCTTTAAATAGATATCACTGGAT